ACCCGCTACTTTAAATCCTCGCCTAGCAATTGAGATTTCCTACGATCACACCGTGAACACATCTGAATTTACTACTCCTCTACGCCTCTCCGTTTCCTCTCCTCTACGAAAAATTCTGAAAATCCTCGTACGTTCTTCGTGCGTATCAAGATTTCTCGTATTGCAACCGTTCACAACTTGGTGATAATCCTTTCGAAACGATAATCTGCAGTAAAGATTCGATGAATTGCGATAAAGAAAAATCGATGACGCTCGTTCAAGGAGATAAATTTTTCGCTCTGCTCGTGAAAAAACTCTGCTCCAACTTCTTTAATCTTGAATCAAACCCCTTCTCGGGGTTGATATCGAACTTTAAGTAAAGAAAAAAATCTACGATTTCGGCCGGGACTAATTAATCGGTTTTTCACAGAACATCGAACCTCTCGCTCCACGGGGGATTTCTCTTTTTAAAAAAAAAAGAGAAAAGGAAGAAGGAGGAAAGTTTGGAGTAGCTTCAGGGAAAAAATGAAACTTTGCGCGTTTTATTCAAAAGTCTCGAAATCAAGACAAAGTTTATTAAACTTTGGCTCGCCGTTCGAATCGTTAAAAAAAAAAAAAAAAAAACTTACGAAAACCTTATTTGCAATAAAACTAAAATCGTTTCTCTCTTCTCCTTACTTCCGTCAACAAATTGCATTCCTACGTTCGTTGTACGATCCTGTAGATCGTGAGATACGGATCAATATTCAAAGTTTGCGAAATTTTAAAATCGGAAAGGTAAAATGAACTTTTGTAAAAAGCGTTTCCTCTCTCCTTTCTTTCTTCCTTTTTTGTGAAAGCGGGTTTTTTTCTCGGGGGTGAAGGGCACCCTCGTCGGAACACCGCGACAGTTTTTCAGCCCTTGCCCGATCTCGACGACGCGTCGGCGGCGGCGGCGGCTCGTTTTAACGCGCAGACAATGAAGAAGAATGTAAAGTGGCGCGGCGAGGTTCCATTGCCTTTCTCGCAGCCGCATTGTTGCCCCGTCACAGTCGCTCCGGGGAACGTTTAATCAAGCCTCGTGCAAATGAAAATCGTCGATCACTCCCTGTCCAACGAATCGCCGGGGTGTATATCTATCTCCAACGAAACCTCGACGCGAACTTTTCGAACAGGTTCGATCGATTTCGAATGAGGAGAGAATTAAAGGATTTCCAGAGAAATTAAAAAAAAACTTTGAGAATTTTATTCTCAATCGGTAAGGTTAACAAACGAAAGAGGCTTGGTTCCTTTTTTTTCGATTGCAAGTCAAGTTTAAGATTTTAAATTGTTTAACAGTGAAATTTCACGGTAAAGTAAACTTTGTTATTATTATTTTCAATTCGAGCAGTCAATCAGAGATCGATATATATATAAAGCGAAACGGAAGACAAAATATGAATTTTACGGGGATACCTGATTAATTATTAATGGGCGTAGAGGGGCAAGGATTCGTCATTGTTTTCCTATTTGTTGAACGATTTTCGCGTTCGCCGATGCTTGATCGATTAACAATGCCCTTTCAGCGGTGTGTTTCCCTCTACGATTGTGCAGAGGCGGGGTTATAAACGAATTATTCATCGAGTGAAAACAATCGAATATAAACGAAGCGACAATTTCTGTTAACTTTCGATATACGATACGAGTTAATGACATTCGGTTAATTTGTCGTTTCAACAAATATATGTGAGTATTTAACGAACAATTAAAAGTGGCAGAACAATTTCGAGGGGGATCTGTTATAAAAGAAAGTTGAAGAAATGGCGAGCGTTGATGGCCAACCGAGACAACGTTTCCCAATCACGATCCATCTAAATCGAATCGCCCTTCCTTCTCAATTATATAGTCTCCTTGTGCGAACACGTGCGAAAGTTGAACGCAACAAAAGAACAATCGCCAACCTTTCGACGATTTAACACGTTCGCGTGTCCTTTCAATCGCGAGGAACACGTGCGCCAAAGATCTCTCCGTATAACGGAGGAAACACGTGTCCCTGGCGCTTTACAGTTAGGGCATACACAGAGCTTATCGACGCTAATCGACACCGATGATTAACTCCGACACGGGTACGAAACCGGTATGATATCGGCCGCCACGAGAACAGGAAACGCCACGAACGGCATACGAGAAAACGTTTGGCAGAAACGTTCGAGAATTTGTACGCGGCATTATATACGAGACAGTCGTAAATCGGCTTGCTCGACCGATAAACGGAAGTCCGTAGTGAATTCGACCTTCCCCGTTAGACGCCGCTTAATAATTATGAACGACCGCTTAACGAACCGTCGCGCCGTCCAACCGCCTTCTCTTCCAACCGATCGAGGCTGATGGAAATTGCTTTAACTCGTTCCGTGTAAATATAGAACGGTTCTATCCGTGAATCATTTTCGCTTACGAACACCGCTGTACCGTTACGTTCCTAGCAACCGTCCGTTTCAGTTAACCTCCGACTGTCGCGTGTCTGTCGAATCGAACCTAACCTAACTTTCGAATCAACTTCGTATTCGTAACAACGCTTTTGCTCAATATCTCGTCGAATTTGAATGATTTGAATTGAATGATTCTTCGATGCTACGACAAATTGAAAAATGAATGTCGGGCACGTGATGCATCGTCGTTGTTAAAGAAATGTATAATTGCGTTTACGCTTATTCAAAAGAGGAGCTACTTCGTGCCGTGAGTTTGAGACGACGATGGAGATGAAAAGAGATCGCGAATTAAACGAATTTCCTAGATGGTCTATCGGAACGGAAACGAATAAATACGCGTGTGTATATATATATATATATATATATACGTTTTATCAACTCGAAGTCCTATCGACTCGAAGACCACTCGACCACGTCGACGCCTCCGAGAAGGATGGATTAATCATCGATTAGAAGCAAATGATCAGCTCGTTTTGAATGTATATTGGCTGGAGATCGACTCCTCCGATGAATCATGAATCATGCGAACGTGACGGAAGTAGCAAACATCTGTCTACTTCTGTAAGCTTTCTCTCTTTATTAACTTTTCGTTCGATAGAATTTACAAGGTAATTCGTTGAATTCGTTCTTACCGATTGATAAATGCAATTATTAAATGGGGGTAAATGAGAGAAAATTAATTACTATTTTCTACTTATCTTATCGGTGAAAAAATATTCATAAATATTTCTCAATCTTTATTGGTCTTTAATTTAATAAACAATAAGAAAATATAATTTTGCGCATCCTCTTTTGCAAATAAATGTGTTAAAATTTTGCTGGAACGATGCGACGAAATGAGGAGCAAGGCTACGATTCCTATCGCTTGCAACACGACGTCGATAAACGTATTGTTTCGTGGATAATTGTCGTCGTTTCGCGTTGCGCGAAATCCATAGCGGCGGATGAGCCGATCAACTATAGGCTCTTTCAAGGACTTTCGACGAGTACCTTCACGGGCTGGCGAGTGTTCCAAGAAGGACGAGAAAATAACGAATACGCGACGCGAGATTGTGCGCCTCCGCGAATAATTAAGCCGTTGTTACTTTCTTCCTCTCCTTCTTAGAGCACATATCTGTGCCGCTTGTATTTAAGAGATGTTAATGCGAGAAATGTACGTAGTTTTACCAAGAAATCAGAATGAGAGAAACTTGATGAATTCGTTAACGTATATATTATATTCGCAGATGCAATGCAGTTTGTAGAGTAGGAACAATGTCTTGCAACGAGTCCAACCATTTACATATTCTTTTGTGTGTAGCGTTCTATTTGTTCTGTTTCTAACGTGACGCGTAATATTTAATAACGAAACATTGATACAAATTGGACGATTTATTCTACCATTCTACGTTTACCTTTCAATTTGCTAAGTGACCGTTTGGAAATTAAATTTTTTAGAAAAAAGAAAAAAAAAGAGAGAAAAAAGAAAAATATAAATAAATTAAAAATCTTGCGCGTTAGATTAAGATGACGCAATTGTTCCATATCAGATAACGTAGAATTAAGGTTAAGTATATATGTATATTGTGCACAGATCTAATATCGTTTCCCATTACATCTCATCCTGTTACGAGTTTCAAATAAATTTCTTATAAATTATCGATAAGATCGTATTATCTATTTGGTAGTTTGGCCGTAAATCTTCATCGATTCGTCTGACGTCTCTCATCCCACCATTTCCAAAATGCGATGAAGATAAATTTCTGACCGTTATAATTTTCTAAGTTTCTTTGTTTTTAACGTTAAACAACATTCATTTCGATAAAACACGCGTTCAGTTACTTTTATTGCCTTTTGTCAGAGAAATGTCGAAGTGATGTGCAAAGGTTAATATATGCATTAAAATAGACTATATTCGCATTAGTGAGGTTTGCATTGTTTGGTCAGTCGAAAGCTTACTGTTATATACTTCGTTGCTATATATATTATATTTATGCATATTTCCCCATTAATTGCATTTAAATAATAAATTAAACTTTTAACTTTTTTATTTTATAATATTAACTTTATTAGTATTGGCCGATAGCTTTTGTCTCGGCAATACGAGTGAGAAAATGTATTCACCGTAATGAAATGTATATATCGGAATGATATAACTTTAATATAATTAGTATATCTATGTATGCAAGGTATATACAAAGTGCATATATCTTGTATTCTTGTAAAGACAGCCAATCGAATGATATATACGAAAAATGACAGAAAAAATCATAATAAACAATTCACAATAATAATAATGAAAATTAATTATTAAATATTTATTGAAATTTTATAATGATTTGAAAAAAAACGTGATAATATATTTCTCAAACAACAAACAAACAAAGTAAAAGGGAATTTGGAATGATTGCGTTATTGAAAAATATCTTAGAAAATAGGCAACAATTATTCCGTTTGATTTTTTCTTTGGCAAACGAAAGAAATATTTAATGACTTACCATGATTCTCGGTGTGTACATCAGGTAGGATCGCGAGTAGCACCAAAACTAGCACTAATTTGCACTGCACCGTCACAGCACCGACGGTACATCGCGAATTCAAGCACCAGATATCACTCAACATGTTTTTTAGGCGGCGAATCGCAATACATAAAGCTCACGCAAACGTCATGACAACCGGTAATCACGTTTTTGCGTTCCGTGCTCTATCTACTTTCGTTACACGCACTCCACACCGTACTAACCACCCAACCCGACTGCTCCGTCGGTTGGGACTGTTGCAACACCTCTGATGGAGCTTCATCCAGGCTCCCCTCCCCTCCCTCCCCTTTTGTGTATCGAGCCATCGAACCTACGAACATTCACGAACTTTGCCGAGCTCGAAGCGCGCGGATTGTAGTCGTCATTTAAATCCCAAATTACATCTCTTTTTTATATTTTTTTTTTCTTTATGTTTTTTGTTCTTTCATAATATTATCTATATAATACTTTGATTCCTTTTTTTTCCTTGACGTTCGTATGAATTATTGATCAGCTGATATTAATGACGGAAATATAACAGAATTAATAAATTATTAAAAAACAAAGGAATAATTAATCAGAAGATTGTTTTATCTCAAATATAATCGTTTTAAAAAGCTAAATAAATTAATTTTAATGCCTCAATTATTATAAAATTTAAAAAAAAAAAAATATTAAACTTATTTAACGCAAAGGATTGAAGTTCTGAAATATTGATCAAACTACAAGGAAAATTGAAAGGTCGACAATACTTTAATTTCTGTAAACAGTTATTGGATTTTTAATTATGGAAAACTTGCGAAAGGAAATAATAGAAAAAATAATAATTATGTGCTTGGAACGAAACGTAAGCACAAGTGAGGATTTTGTTTCTTTTTTGGTATGTATCATTTATGAGAAACTTTAATTTTGAATTAACCTAAACAATTATTCAATGTTAATTTTTGATGCAAAATATTATTTTCTATACGTATATCTATTTTATAGATTACTTTATTTCAATTAAATCCTCTATATAAAATTAAAATGGATGACGAGAAAAATAATGAGAATCTTATTAATGACATAGTTGAAAAAATATGTGATGAAAAAGAATAAGTTTAACAATATTAAAAATTCAATTATATTTTACGAAACACTATCATAATAGAGGTGTGAAAATGTATTTTTAATATTTGAAATAATAATTATAAATAATAATTACATAATCAAATATGTTATATCTATTCTTAGATGAAGTCGTTAAACGATACAGATTGCGATTGCATCAAAAAAGTGGACCATTGGTTGCGGAAATTTGTAAAACTGAAAAAATTACTAATAGACAGGAATATGAAAAATTGTATCAAAAGATATTGACGGTTATCACTATTTTAAGTGGTCTTGGAAATCCTACCGTAGTTGCAGTAATTCAGTAATAATGCTAAATTTATAATAAATATCAACATCGCTATGTGTTTTTTTATATTAATTAATTTATTTTTATTAATTGGAAATAAAATTTATTTTATTTTCAGGGAAGTTTCAGTAGCATTGAAAAGTATTTTTCAACCTTTGGAATTGGAATACTATGTAAAGATGTCTAAACGTGAGAAGGAAGAACAGTTAATGGAATTAATGTGCATAGTCGCGGGAATACGATTGTTTAACAGAGATTGCCAACGCGGAGGAGAAGGAATTGACGATTGTAAGTCTTTGAAAATGATTAAAATTACATACACTATAGAAAAAAACAAATCGTTAACGCAAGTTATCTCTTCAGTACCTGCCATTTTACAAAAAGCTGTAAAAAGAAGTTGCGAAATTATCATGGGATTTTTAGAAGATTTAATGTTGAAAATATACAAATTCACTGCAATTATAGAAAAAATATGTTTTCCAAAAGAATTACCAATTAATATTTTTACAAAATCTAATATAGAGTGGGCAAGTGATATGTTAACAGTATGCCGGCAACAAGAGATTTATATTAGGTAACAGGCTCGATAACAATAATTTAATGTCGATAATCATCGTTCTTTTCATCGTAGAAAACTGTTAAGTGACATAGATCGTAGCGACAAGGAGATTCAAAATTATCTAAAACGTCTTCAAGAACGCTTTTTTAAACTTCATGACACTGTGAGATATAAAACTGCGATTCCTAGTACTGAAGTATACGTAAGAAATTATTTTATATATTTTTTTCTTTTTTTGCGAATTTTCATTTTATTATAATTGTTTAATTTATTATTTTCCTTGACTATTCTTTTAGCCACAATTCATCGATTTAGCTGATATATGGATGGGACTTCAGGATGAAGTGATTATAATAAGTAATATTAACAATTTTTTTTGGGAATTTCAAGCTTTGATTATAAAGGTAATTATTCGATATAATTATGTACGAATATAAACAATGAGGTAAAGATTCAATATATATTGATATATATATATATATGTATTATAGAATAACATGAACATATTCAATGAAATACTAATGATGGATATGTTGTCCGACAGTAAAATACTTACAGATGCTGAAAGATTAGAACTATCGATGGGTGAATTAATAGGTTATAAAATAAATTGCAAATTAATATTATAATATTAGATAAAACAGCTAGATGCTACAATTAAAAATTTTATTTCAGACGAATGTGGCCCGTGTACTGTTTATTATCCTAACGATACTGTGGATTTCGAGAACATAAATTTAGAGGTAATACGAAGCAGAAGATATTAAAATTAAAGATCATACACCAAGGTTCATACCAAATATGATGATTTCTCTAGGTTAATGAATTCGCCATTAGTTTCTAGGATTTTGCGCATGGATGTTCATTAGAAATGGTGTATTAATCCCGGGAAATCCGAATAATGGTGTCGTTAAATGGAAAGGAAAATATTATGTATTTTGCTCGACCAATGCAGCGAAAGAATTTGGAAGAGATCCTGATAGGTATGTCTTTGTTAATCTGCAAAACTACAAGTATTAAATAAATTAAAGATACAAGTATTAAATAATATTAAATAAATTAAAAAAAATAATAAATTTGTCACAGATACGTTTACGAGGGTCTTGATTTCATACGCAATCGTCTTGAGCACGTATATTTGTTTCAAGTATATGATGATGTTCGAGCTTTAGAAACTGAAGAAATGTAAGTATTTAATAATGATGATTTAATTTAAATTTAATATAAAGATTATTTGATGGAGAATTTTAATTAACAAGGATATCAGAACAAGGTCCTGAATTAAAAATTTGTAACCATCAAATGGTTCAAACAGATTTGCATATACTTCCATCCTTCATTGATAAGAATTATTCTTCGAATATCTGGGAATTAAGAAATAAAGCGTTACATTTAGTAAGTTATAGTATCAATAAATATAATGTAGATTAAATAAAATAAAAAAAAAAAAGCGACTTCATTCCTTTTTCCAGGCGACAATAAGTCGGTATAAAACACGCAGCACTCAAACACATATGTCCAACTTCAGATACGGTGTTTATGTACAAGCAGCTCCGCCTCGAGACAAAGAAGTTCAAACAAGAAGAGATAATTACACGAATACAAAGAAACTCTTAACTTATATCTTTGGCCTACGGGGGAGGAACGATGATAATCAACATGTAGTATCTTTCTTGGAAAGCGAACTGAAACATTTATGAATAATATATCACATATAAATTTTGCATTAACATTTGCTTAAAGGATATACTGGATAGGTGTCCCAAGGTATTCACGATAGAATGAAGCTACAAAGAGCACTCTTAAAAAAAAATGAAAGCAATATCTTTTTAATGATGTTCTCAAATACATTCACGAAATATCTTGGCATAACCTGTACTTTTTTTTCATTTAGAAAACAAACTGGTATTATTATAATTTACTTCGTAACACGCGTAATATTTTCATTATCGTCAAATGTTTGCAATGATTTCTTCGTGGCTTCCATTAATTTAGGCCAGCATTCATTAATTTATATTCAAAATACACAAATTTTTCCATACAACGAGATGTGTATATCCACACTAGGATTCCGCATCTCGCATCATCAATCTATCTTACTTTCTACAATTCAACATTGCGCAATGCTGCGCATACTGTGATCTTTAATATGCATGCATCATACTTTTACTGAATACATCACTTTACCATTAAATCTTAAGAGTTAGGTCAATTTTTTACACCAAGAAACCTATATTACGACAATAATTAGTAATTACACGATAATACAATTAAATTTCGCTTAATAATAATTTCAGTGTATAATGTAACAATTATACAGAAGAGGTACAGGATGTTGATTTTTCGCATCGTCGTTCTCTTAATTCTTATCATACTTTTTTTTTAACTTACCACATATCTTTTCCCATTCTCTCTTTCTCTCCTTTGTTTGAAAAATTGTCCCTTTGTTACATCCATTTTCAGAAAGTAACCAATATTAAAATAAAAAGATGAAAATATCGTGTGATTTTTGGGCGGCAATTAGTGATTTAGAAAAAAAATTAGAAAAAAAAATTAGAAAAAAAAAAAAAAAAAAATTAAGCATTACCGCAATCAGCTATCATTATTAATATTTTTTTTTATTTAATCTAAGTATTTAATCTACTTTAATTTTTAACTGTCACGTAATAAAATAAAAAAAAAAAAACAAAAATTCATTTTAAAAAATTTAAAACAGTTTTTACTGCTTCACTTTTTACTGCCGCAATGGCACACCGTATTTTCATGCTTGGTGAAAAAGGATTGTTTACAAGAACCACCAGGCAAACGATAAAACATTAACTTTGAATACATTGACTTAAAACCAGCTTATTGACTATTGGCCATTTTAATGTTTTCCACATTTCGAAATCATCCGCACGTCCATGGTATCAACCCTTCCTTTTTATATCATCGTGACATTGATCAAATCTACATAGATTCCTACTTGTGGGTCATCATTTGCATACACATTTTGGGCAGCTTTTAACAATGTTAACGAGCCGCGCTTTTAATAATGCCCATAAATTAAGATGCTACATCGCGAATATAAGATTATATTCAATAAGACAAAGCAGCTACCATGGACAACAGAGTTTATCGGAATGGTGTAAACATGGCTAAAGTCTTAAGTCGCAAGAAATATGTTTGTGTTTGTATGTATGTATATTTATGTATCGTGTGAGAAAGATGGAAAGATGCACTTTGCATCTTGGAATACGTTATACAATGTTTATAACCTGTTAGAATTCGTGGTTCGAGGATGATTTAATCTACAAAGTGATTTTTGAGGTACTTCATCATACCAAAAGTTCTAAAACGTTTTACTCCAATTACTTTCAATAATTCATCATCGCAGAGTGCGTATTGCTTATTTTTAGGATCCTATAAAATAATAAAATATATTAAAATGTTGAAAATATAAGTAAGAAAACAACATATAGTTCAATACTTACATAAAGATTCCTTTCTTTAATGATACTCCAAATCTTTTTCACAACTTCGTGTCGAGCCATTTGTTCAGCACCAACAACAGCAGCAAGTTCCGGAGATAATGTAATAGCACGAGTATATCCGCCTTTAGCTTTACCTCCACCACCTTTCTTTGCTCCTCCACCTTGAGCTTTCTTAACTTTACCCCAATCTTCGTCACTGTCGCTGTCACTACCTTTCTTTTTTCCCTTCTTGCCAGGCTTATCTATTAAAAATGTTATTAATAATAATAATAATAATAATAATAATAATAATAATAATAATAATAATAATAATAGAAAGATCAAAGAGGAACAAACATATATGTGTATGTATATATATATATAATAATATAATTTATTTACTTTTTTTAGGTGTTGCCTTTGGTTTCTTTGGATTATATTCTTCGTCACTAGCATCATCGTCACTTGCACTTTCTTCATCATCAGAAGATCCTTTCTTACGTTTATTAATTTGTTTCTTTGCAGGACTCCTTTTGGCTGGCTTTTTTTCTTCTTCCTCTTCCTCTTCTTCGGATCCTTCTTCTTCTTCTTCTTCACCATCTTCAGATTCTTCACTAGCAGTCTTCTTCTTTTTCTTTGCTCCATCTTGTTTTTCTTGTAAACACTCCATGACTAAATTGTCTACTTCCTTTTTCCTGTACATAAATTTACCATAAAATTTATCACCATATTAAATGCAAAGTGAAACTTATAAATAAAATTATATTTAATATCAAACAAATGTTGAAGGTGGAACGAGGTGAAAACTTAAAGGAAAAGTTTCACACAGAGAACCTTGCTTTTATTTCGGATACAGATAATCTCACTCTTGATTTATTTTAATTATAAGAGCGCCTGCTGTATCCAAAAATATATATTTTCTCTTTTTCTTTTTTTTTTATTAAAAATATAAAATAAAGTAAGAAATTTATTCATATTGAATGTTGATGATAAGCTCTTACCTTTCAGTAAGGTCTATATCAAGTTTTCCTTCAATTTGTAGCCTTACTTTCTTAGCTGACATAGTAGTAAGATCTGCATCCTTAAGGATAGCTAAACATAAAAATATATTTCCATTTCATGCAAAAAATTTTCGTAGCTTCAATATTCGAAATTTAACTAAAAATAGACAGTTTATTCGTATAAATTTTAATTTTTTTTAATTTACTTTCATACTTAATATATGAAATGTTATAAAATACAAGAAATGATAATGCTATTAATACAAGATAATGTTTATATAACAATATAAATCAATTAGAATTTAAAACATATAATATCAGATAAAATTTAGAATAATGTAAGTTTCCCGCGCCAGAATACTAGTAAATATTGAACGAAAATGGCCGCTATTCATCGTGCCGGTTGCCAATTTTTGTATAAAAAAAAAAAAAAAAAAAAAAAAAAAAAAAAATAAAAGAAAAAAAAATAAGAAAAAAAAAAGAAAAAAAAATTTCTAAAAGTAAACTTCTTGGTGAAAATATAATAAATTAATTGAGTTTATAAAACTGCTTTCTTTGCATCAGTGAATCGATCGTAAAATACATTGGACCTTGGAATGACGAAAAATAGCTAAAAGTTCAACCATATATAAACGATGAAAGTTCATACAGATCGGTATAGTAATTAGCAGTTTATGCGAAAATTCAAGATAAGCGATTGAATATAAAAAACTTAAAATTAAGGAAAAAATATTAATAAAGTATAAACATCATGTCCATTTTGAGGCGGCGGGAAAGGTAAAAACTAGTGAATATTCGTGGCAACAAAATACGCCGTAACTGCAACTGTAACAAGCGTGTAAAATTCGAGGGACGAGGCTATATTTGGATTGGTAAAACAAAAGAAAAAAGCAGAATCCGTTGAAATATTCTAGAAAATGAGGGCACGGTCCATGTTAAGATCACTTTTCATGGTGCAAAAGTCGTTGAAGACAAGAGAAAGAGCGAGATATGAAGCATGCGATGGCTTCAGGCGCGCGCCACCACAGTTAGACGCGTCATACAGCATACTATAGAACAGAATATAGGGAAAGCGTTCATTTCTAGAAAACCAAGGAAAAATCAAAATTTTTCCAAGACATCAAAAAATTATATAAAAAATTCAATAGTAGATTACACGAAACGGCTAGGCGATACAATATTCCGATAAAGCTGTACGTAAGTGGAAATATGATGAATCGTGGTTGTAATGGCCGGCGTGGGGCACGCCACTTCGTCACATACGTGCGCGTTAAAGTCGTCACGTCGCAAGAGCAAAGAGCCTGATTTCCTACATATTCCTACTCACAAACGTACGAATAATTTGAACCATGAATGGTTACTAACTTAATTTTGTTATATTTGTAGGCCAAAGTTCGGTAAATCGAAGGATATTGCTACTTACCGGTGATTTCTTTACGAAGTTCTTCGTTCGAAATATCAGCCATGGTCGTCTTTCTCGCTGTGCGTACTGCTGCCAACTGAACCTATGCCGGCTGCGGACTCCCGTAGCGTCCGTTGGTACAGTCACTCTATACAGTGAGTCGAAAATACGTTAACTTTATGAGACTTTAAATACAGATATCTTGGCAGGGATACGTTAAAAATGAATACTATATACACCAAATCGTGTTAGTTTTTTACGATCTACAAGTTTCTCATGACGCCCTACTCATAATTTTGCGATCGGATGACCCTATTTTGATGTTTCGCCAATGCGTTCACGAATATATTTTGGTAGTGATTGTACTAAGCGACCGCTCGTGGCTGCCGGTGGCGTCTATGGTACAGTCGACTCACATACCTAGTACTATTACTTCCAGATAATATATTTTCAATAATATAATAAGATTTTTCGATATTTTGAAAGAATATTATATATATTAAATTTAAAATTTTTTTTTGTTTATAAATTTCTTATACCGTTTCATATTCAATAATGAGTATAATTTAATAGATTGAAATATAATTTTTCATGATCCTTCGAGCTGTTTTATCGAAATGGACTGTACAAAGCGACCACTTCTGGATTCATAGCGTCGAGCATATAGTCGCATCATATGACAATCAGTATACATTCTAGAGATATGTTAAAAAAAAATTAATAGTTCAGTAAATATCAGTCATGATTCTATTTTTATTGAATGAAACTATATAGAATATACGACGTTGCCTTTATTATTAAAGATTTATATTATTTTATATCTCTCGTATCATCTATATTATGGATTTCATTATCTTTATCTATAACAATTATGATATTCTGTCTATGGAACAAAGAATTTTATATATCGAAGTATATAATGATTTGAAGTGATCTGTATTTGCTTACATATGCAACTAGTTTATGTAACAAATATGTATTTATCATATCTAAAAATTGATACATTCACGTGTAATTGCATCCAATCAGTGCGATATTTTAATAGGCCGCGACTGTCGAAGCGACCACTCGGTTTCTTCCTCGCTTTAGCGGTACAGTAACCACCAATATACTCGAAAGGATGTTCTGAATAAATGATCTTTGAAAATTCATAACTTTATAATCATTAATCTTAGAAAGATGTTGTATTTACAAAATCGTATCAATTTTTTATAAGGAAAATGTTTCTTGAGAAGCGCCTTGTGCGATCTTATCATTTAACACATGTAAGTAGAAATTATGGCTGTTCTGATGTACATACTTTTGTAGATGACTATACTCAATCTGGCAGGTTCATTGAAAGATAAATTTCTCAATAAAATTCTATATAAATTTATTTCAAAAATGACATAAGAATAAATTTAATTTTTTTTTTGAATGATCTATGTGTTTAAATCTTTTTATTTAATCCTAAAAAATATATTTACTAATGACACGTCAAATGTAATGCCGCCACGGTGTTTGAACGCTTTAAAATGGCGGTTTCATTTTTCGCGTAATCATTTAAGAATATTAATTTGTTACCAAACATTTATTTAATTGCACTATTGTAATGAACGATTCTTTTTTATCGTATGACGTTTCGATAAATTTATGTGAATATTTTACATAATAATTTTAATTCTTTACACACACATTGATGTTATTATGAACTTTCGCCAAAAGTATATCATTTTCCCTCTTAATGTTCTATTACTTCCGGTAAAATGACAACACTGTTTTATTCATTAAAAAAAATTATTTGTTTTTCTGTTATAAGCATTGATAAAATATTCTATAATGTTATAAGAAAATGAGTTTTAGTAAATGGATAAACATCTTATCGTGTGTTTGTTTTGTATGCAACTCAGGTTACGATTGCAAAATTGTCTTGGAAATATTGATATTTTCACGCTATAGATATGTTTACTCTGCCATCTAGCGTTACATTATGAATTTTGGTTTTATTAGCAGATAAAGACACAGACAAGGCATAGAATAGATCAATCACTCAATGCATTTTTTTGCTTAACGTCTCGAAGGGATTTCAACAGTTTCTTTACCATTTTAGTGTCATGCTCAATGTTACCGATCCAGCATAGAATAAGATTGCAACATTAGTAGTGGTTAGAATTGAAACTAAATTTTTATGTAAAATTACAAATAAAATATAGAACAATATATAGATATATTATAGAAGTTTTTATGTAAAATTATAAATAAGATATTGTTTTAGAATATCAAAGAAAAATTTAAATTTAAATGAATTAATATCTACTTTAAAATATACAACATATCTAATCAGAAAAATAATAAATTCATTAATTTACAAAATATATTCTTAATACATTCTATCAAATATTCAGATAAGTACTTTTCTATAAGATACATTTTTTATTCATTTATATATTTATATAAGTATTTTGTCATAGAACAAAGCTTAGCGATATCAAAGGCAGAAATCCTTCAAATAAATTATAATATGATCAAATAGCTGCGATTGAAATATTATTATATACATTTAATAAACTATTTGCTTTGCATATTTTCTCTAAAAAATAGAAAGTAGATCAAGTTGTAATGTCAAAAAAAAAAAAAGAAAGAATAATTAAGATAGATCATTGTATTGTCTTGCATGTTTATAAAGTTTAAGAAACTCATCAATAATAGGTAATGCTAATGAATAATAGAATAGATATATTTCCAGATTCTGAACAGAGTAATTTATATATAATATTATATTATATGATTATATAAGTATAATTATCATTTATCAATTATCAATTATAAACATAGATTTCCACATTAATCGGTTTACCAGTTTAATTAACAGACTTACTCTTTAGACTTGATATTGGAAAAAATATCTATTCTATAATTTATTTTAAAGAGGATATATAATAGAAATGTGAATTTTACAAGAAAATATATATATTACATTCTGATTGTGATAAAAATAAGAAATTACATAATAATATATATATATAAAATATTATAATAATTATATTAAATATTATTATATTATTATATTCATAATAATTATAATAAATATTAAGTCTCTTCAATATCTTTTGTATTTAATCTTCAATATTTACATTATAAATGGAGAAAAAAAATATTAAAATAAATAAAAATAGAAGTGATTAATAGAATTAATAGAATTAATAGAATTTTGCTAAAATATTGTGTTAAGATATAGCAAATAAAAATGCAATGTAAAAGTTTTATAATAGAAAAAAATATATTTTATATATATAAAAGTAGAAAATACACAAAAGTAAATTGTTAAATTGATAAAATTATTGAATTGAATATTATTATTAATTATAATAATATGATTATAAATATAGTCTATTTAAATAATAAAATATGACTAATAAAATATAAATAAAATTTCTCAATAAAAAAATATAATTATTTATATATATTATTTTATGTCAAAAGAAGTCTAATTATTTTTTCTAGTTATTAATTAAATTTATTTTTAAATAAATTTATTTCAAATTTTTTCAATAAATATAAATTCTAAAATCAAATTATTTGCATTTAATATTTGCATTTAAAAGTTATATATAATGCTTACTGCAAAAATATTTTCTAAAATATTTGATTTTTTTAAAAAATTATTTAGTTATATATATATATTAAAGAAAAATTAAAAAGTATTTTTTGAATGTATATTTTATAATTAATTGAAATGTTCTTGTAATTAATTTGTCAGATGAAAAAACTTTTAGAACTTTTAGAATATAATATATTATTTTAAATCTCCGCGCGATATTAAAAGGCAGGAGAATCGTGCTACAACAGCCAATTAGAAAGCTGCTGTAGGATCCACATGGAATAGTAATCCGCTACCAAAAATCGCAATAATAGGATATGCAATATAAGGAGTGTGATTTCAATTGTGAATCTATTGTTATTCCGTTATCATTTTTAAATATTATCATTAATTTTATTTAATTAATAATTATTTATTTAATTATTTATTAAGCATTATTACTAGCATTAAAGTTTTTTAAAATCATTTCTTTTTCATTAGTTTTATTCGTTATATATTTGATTATGATAGTTTTATATAGTTTATGTTATAACTTTTTAAAAGACTTCGATATCGGTTAATAATTTCATTTTAATATATATATATATATAATAAATAAAATATATATATAATAAATAAATCAATTAAGAATATATATATATATATATATATATATATATATATATA